AGCGAGTAGCGCGCGAAAGCACTCCCATAATGGATGACCCACTGGAAAGTTCTCGTGTGAGTTCCTAGAAACAAAACCGTGAGGGCGTGGTCAGGGCCTAAAGCGGACAATATCGTGCTACGATGGTGGAGCGGGCCCAGGATGTGGTGGACCCCGGGCCGGGATGTGACAAACATAGTGTGACAGTTGATACTTTTTTTTTTAATGATTTAAATAAGAAGTATAACCATCAACTACTAAATCATGCGATTCACAAAATATGATTTAAGAAAATGTATTCTTTAACATCACTCTTTCTAAAAGCATCTCCAAATGAAATGCTAAAATGTACACATCAGCTATAACAGTAAAAAAATATCACACTAATATTCTCCAACTGAAGTGACAAATCCTATGTGGCGATGACATCATTGGCAGCAAAAGAGGTTGCTGTTAAATTTGACAGCAACTTCAAATGTTCTTTTATTAATTATTAAATGTATTTTTTAATTTTAATTAATTTAATCATTTATTATAATTAATGTTGAGTTGACCGATGCAATTATCTTACTTTTTTCTTCTTTTTAATTAAAGAAAGTGAATAGATTACTGATTAAACTTTAAATGTCCTTTATTAAATTTTAATTAGTTTAATAATTTATTTTATAAAATAATAAAATAATAATTTAGTTTGACATATCGGTTGGAGAACAAAACTTTAAAAAAATGTCAAAATGCCACATAAGCTGTCAAAATTTAAATTTTATGTTCAAAATTTGACATCTCCTTTAGAGATGGTCTAATAAGACAATAAAATGGGCAATTTTCAAGTAAGACACGGAAAAATATCGACTTTTGAACGGTATAACACATAACCATTCCCCAGACCCATCGCCATCGGCCAGCTCCATACCCCAACCCTACCCAACCAGGCAACCCCCCGACCTCAACCTCCCACACTTCAACTTGATGATGCCAAGATGAACACTGTATTTCTTTTAGCTGTTAGGGTTTTATGAAACTATTTAAATAAAAATTTATATCATATTTGTGGAGTGTTTACAATAAATTATGGGGTATTAATGTGTTGATCTTAAAAATTACAACGTCTACGTGGCGCACAGACCTAGTAATTATTGAGCTAACTACGTACTTGTGAATGCTGGCATATGCCAACTCGCAACCGAGTTCGGTCGAGCAAATAGAATAGATGTGGCTGAAACAATATTCCCTGTTAATTACGACCCACAATCAAATAGTTTTCATGTCTATCGACTCTTTCAACAACGAGAAGACCAGCAAGAGAATTCCGCAGATTGCTATTGATGTTGTAGCTGAAACATACCGCACTTTTGCTTAAATTAACTTGTTGTCTAGAGGCATGCTCATAATACTTTAGGATCTCCTTAATCGTATTACAATCTGTCGTCTTAGCCCTTGAAAACAAGATGCAATCATCGGCGAACAACAAGTGAGTAACAGAAGGAGCTTCTTGGCAAATAGAAACCCCTCTGGAGCTAGCCCTCCTCTTCCCGCTTCGCAATTAGAGCCGAGAGGCCTTCGTCACATAAGAGGAATCAGTAAGGAGAGAGCGGGGATAACCATTGAAAGGGAAAGCGTATGAGACCGTAGAAACGATAATCCATTGTTGCTCAAATCCCATTTTCTCCATGACGTTTCACAAGTTACCCCATTCGATGCAATCGTACACCTTGCTCATGTCAAGTTTGAGGGCCAAGATCTCTTTTTACTCTTCCCCTAAATAAGGACGAAAGCACTTTGATGTTGAGAAAAGTTTAGGCATAATGAGCTTGAATAAGGACGAAAGCACTTTGACAATACAATACATGCTTAGCCCACACCATCATCCTCTTAGTGTGGATAATATTGTTGGTTAAAAAAAAAAAAAAAAAAATTAAGGTGCTGTTAGTGGGGTTTTCAAACTATGTTTTAGCATCAAGTGTAGAATCCCGCCATAGGTTGAAACACACACACAAAAAAAAAAAAAACACCCCGACATTCCATCAGTATATTAAGTTTTTCCTTTAGGGTTTTGTAATATTGTGGGTTCTGTGTTTTTAATCAACGTATGTTTTTCACTGGCTTGTGTGCCTTGGCTCCTGTTCTCTTCCAGGATTCTTTTGAAGTCCGTTTGGTTTCGATATATTCTTTAGAATTGCATGCATTTAGCCACCCCACTACTCAAAATTCTCCGAAAATGGAAGTCTCAAACAATTTGCTGTAAAGAACGATTTCTTGCATGATAATCTAGCTGAGGAGGTTCATATGGAGTTTCATCCTTGCTTCGGTGATACTACTAGGAAAGGAAATGTGTGCAGATTGAAGGCCTTGTATGTGTTGGATTTATTCCACTGTAAATCAATCTTAAATGGTCTACAACATAAAATAGGAATATAATATTAGAGATTAATGTAGATATTGGGACTTGTTCTCCTAAAGATATCAATCTTATATTAGGTGTTTTGTAATACAAGTAAGATTGATGGACTCGTTGATTATATGTGATTATGATACCTAATTGATAGGCTAAAAATTAAAATGGGATTTGAGATTCCTTTATGAACGGAACCTTAATGCCTTAGCCAGTATAAATACTAAGGTCCCTACCAACCCTAGATACACAACAAACGCTTTCCATAAAGTAGTTGTATCCGGCTAGGTGCTTTGTGGAAGACTTTGGTGTTGCTGCAACCTACATCTTCTTCGCTTGGTCTCCAATGGCTATCGCTTCATGACCAGGTCAGCCAACTCCTTGTTTTGTGTTTTAATTATATAACCACATAAAATTTACATGTGGTATCAGAGCCATAGGTTATATGATTAAAACCTCTTAAGAAAAGTTGATTTTAGAGACTGAAAGCAAACAACTTAATCAGTATTGATATTTGGATTATAAACATTGAAAGTCTACTAATCACACGTGCCGCTGTTGTTGTTCTTAAATTTTTGTGAGCATTAATATATTAATGAATTACATGTAAGTTATATAATTTCTATAATAAAAATTAGTAATTGATTTAGAGTTTTAATACTCACATCCTTATTAAACTCCTAATTAATTTTCAATTCAAACATTTCCAAAATATAAAAAATAAAATTATAATAAGTTTAGTACCCATTAAATTAAATTTTTAATTTTTTAATCTTATATGTACCCACCGCTACCGGCCAGCTCATCCCCAACCCCACCCAACCAGGCAATTTCCCGGCCTCAACCCCACATACTTCAACTTGATGATGCCAAGATGAACAGTGTTTCTTTTAGCTGTTAGGGTTTATGAAACTATTTAAACAAAAATTTATATTGTATTACGGTTATATTTTCATCCTGTTGTCAATCAAAGAGAGTTTTGCCTTACTTTTGTTTGTGGAGTGTTTACAATAAATTATAGGGTATAAATGTGTTGACCTTAAAAATTACAACGCTTACGTGACGCACAGATTTAGTAACTATTGAGCTAGCTACGTACTTGTGAATGCGGGCATATGCCAGCTCGCAACCGAGTTCAGCCGAACGAGTATAATAGATGTGATTGAAACAATTTCCCCTGTTACGACCCACAATGGTTCGGTGTACCAATTTTTTTTATGTCTATGTACTCTTTCAACAACGAGAAGACCAACAAGAGAATTCCTGCATATTGCCATTGATGTTGCGGCTGAAACATACCGTACTTTTGCTTAAATTGACTTCTTGTCCAGAGGCATGCTCATAATACTTTAGGATCTCCTTAATCGTATTACAATTTGTCGTCCTAGCCCTTGAAAACAAGAAGCAGTCATCCGCGAACAACAAGTGATTAACAGAAGGAGCTCCTTAGCAAATAGAAACACCTTGGAGCTGGCCCTCCTCTTCCCGCCTCACAATTAGAGCCGAAAGGCCTTTGACACAAAAGAGGAATAGGTTAGGGGTGCAACTTGGGTTGGGTTAATCCGAATCCATCCATGTCTAATACAATTTTAAATCCGAACAAGTGATTTTTTTTTTTTAGTTATAACCCGTTCGAACCCAACCTAATTTCAACCCGTTCATTGATTGGGTTGAGTTGGGTTGATCATTTACTTGTCCATCCCCAACCCCCCCCAATCCGACTAACCAAACCCAATCTAACCAGATTGTAACCCATATCAATTAATACTCAACTACACCCAGGTAAGCCAAGTCGAAAAACCAACGCCCTTTCTAATATTTTTTTTAATAAATTACCCTTATAATTACTTAAGCTTTTAGGGAATAAGAGGTTTTGATTAGTCAACCCATATTCATAATCTATAATTCCTAAAGCTTTATAGTAGATTGATTTATGAAATTAAAGTTAACTAGCTTTTGATGCTACTTGGCTTAATTTTTTTTTTTTTTTTTTTTGAAATTCTTGGAAACTAAGTTGTTACAAGATTAAACTTTAAAAAGTTGGACAACCCGAACCAAACCCAATCAAACCCGAACCCAAGAATGAAACCCAACTCAAACCCGAGCTCGAATTGTAAAAGTTGGGTTAGGATTAGGTTGACATTCCAACCCGTCCGAGTTGCACCCCTATACCTACGAACAAATGACAAGTGTTTTTTCTTGTGTGGATCCTATTTCAATGGGAACGTGATGAGTCAATCCGCCTACACGTCTTCCCTTTACTGTTATATCAGGAGTTGCTCCAGTACCCCATTTGATGCAATTGTACGCCTTGCTCATGTCGAGTTTAAGAGCCAAGAATCTCTCTCTACTTCTTCTCCTAAATAAAGACTGAGTAATTTCAAACGCCAATACGGTGTTGTTAGAAATTTGGCTCTCGGGACGAAAGCACTTTGATGTTGATAAGTTAATTTAGGCATAATGAGCTTGATGCGATTGGAGATGGTCTTTGAGGCAAGTGGGGTTGGTTAAATCTAAACCTGGGCTTGAGTTGGGTTGTTCGACCGAACCCAACGTGACCCAACCACCCGAGTTAACCCTTGAGCCTAGGTATATATAGCGCGGGTTCTAAATAAAACCGGAACAGAAATCAAGCAGCTCCCCACTCTCAATGGCCTCCTCCGCTCGACCCCCTCCAGACCGGGGCCGAAACTGGACGGAACTGCCGGAGGACGTCACGGCTTCAATACTCTCTCGGCTCGGAGCCATCGAAATCCTGACGAGCGCTCAGATGGTGTGCGCGACGTGGAACAACATTTGCAAGGACCCGCTGATGTGGTGCACCATCGACCTGCGCGATCTTGATCACCAGAAACACATTCATTACGACTTGGAGAAGATGTGCCGCCACGCCGTTGACCGCAGCTCTGGAAATCTGGTCTGTATCAGTGTCGAAGATTTCAGCTCCGATGAGCTTCTCACGTACATCACCAACTGGTATTCAAATGTCAATTTAGTTGTTCTATGTTTGCTTTTCGGGTTTTGTTCTTTCAACATTAGTTTAGTTGTTTCACATTTGGGAGTTGTAATTCAAGGTTGGTCAAGTCATTGTCTTTTGGTAATGTGACCAATTTTGTTTGAGCCTAATGACTCCTTCATCTCAAGAACTGCGTTGGAGGGCGAGTCCCAATGTGCTTGTGTAGTTTAACTAACCCTTATGAGAAGAAGTCTAGGAGGAAACGTGGCCGATGCCCTTTTCGTCCTTACGACCTAGTTGTGTTCTTACGAACACCCTTCACCTTGTCCAGGGTTTGTGCTGCAAACTTGTTTTCTTGGGTTACTGACTAGACCATTCGCTGCAATGCATGTATGAAAATTCCTGGGATGATGATTTTCCTAGACATTTAGTGATGTGTTTTGCGTATAATTTCCAAGAAAAGAGTTGGTATTTAGTATTTGGTTTAGTTTTCTTGGTTAGTATACTGTCACATATTTAATTATGGCTTTTTAGCCAAAATGGTTTTAGGATTAAAATAACTTTTCATTTTGGTTTGTTATTAAAAATCGATAGAAATGATCCTTAAATTTGTCCACCGTCATTCATTTTGACCGTTCTGTGAAAAAATCTCCGTTAAGTTGAGCTATTTTTGTTCAATCAACCCCTCCACTTGCTTTTCCATTTAACGGAGATTTTTTACGGAATGACCAAAATGATTGAAGACCTAGGGACCACTCTTATCCATTTTCAATGTCAGGACTAAAGTGATGAGTTATACCTAATTTTAGAGACCATTTTGGCTACAAAAGCCTTTTAAGTGATGCCTTCTTTTCGTATATTTATTGAGCATCTGTTCTCTCTGATATGATTCACAACACACACACAAGGGCAGACACAATATACATATATGTATGCTAGAAATTCCATATTTTCATGCCAATGAATTATTATGTAATTTATGTTGATTAGAATTTCTTTCCTATGTGTCTTTCTGTAGTTGCCTAACATATTAATCTATCACCTTTCAATAGTTCAAGTGGAATCAAACGTCTCCGACTTGTCCGTTGCGATGGCATAACGAATGAGGGACTGGCTAAAGTGGCTTCTAAACTTCCACTCTTGGAGGACCTTGAAATTTCGTATTGTGCATTCTCACATGAACCTCTAGAAGTTGTAGGGTCTTCTTGCCCTCTTTTGAAATCATTCAAATTTAACAACCGGTGGTACAGATGGTCAGATGAAGAGTGTGACGACGATGCACTTGCTATAGCAGGAACGATGCATGATTTACGCCACCTCCAGCTTTTTGGGAATAAGCTGACGAACGATGGCTTGCTGGCCATTCTTGACCATTGTCCTCAGCTCGAGTTGCTTGATCTTCGGCAGTGCTTCAATCTTAAGCTGGGAGGAAAGTTGAGAAGAAGATGTGCTGAACAAGTGAAAAAATTGTGGTTTCCTGATGATTCCACCCTTGACTATGAATTTGATTCTGCAATTGATTACCATGAAGACAACCCATTTGGGTATTCGGATATAGATTTGATGTCTGATGATGATAAGGATTATGACTTCGGTAACCGAAAAGTAGAAGATGATGAGGAGTATGACTTCAACTATGGGAGTGGTTCTGATGACTGCCGTGAGGTTGAGGATAATGATGTTTATCCATGGATTGTCTGACTTTTGATGCATTGAAGACCTTGTATCTGATGAAATCGGTGCATCCAGTGCTCTCAAAGCAAAAAGCTTTTATACATCTACGGGATTTGGAATTTCTTTGCAGAATGCCCAGTTCTGTACAGAATACGCAGTTTTTTATGCGTTACCTCCCAATGCACGACTGTTTCTGTTGGAAATTCAAATAAAAACAAGCTGTAAAAGGTTGCTTCTAGCTGTTAGTTTCTTTACAGGTTGTATCCACACATGCTGCAACTACAAAGACTAAAGTTTCCTCCATGTGCTAGCTGAAATGGTGATGAAAGACAGCAAGTGTGCTGCCATGTGATGTGCTAGCAGGAAGACAGCAGTGTGCTGCTGTGTATTAGCCGAAAGAGTGTTGATTGCAAGCTGGAAAGATAGCTGCATATGTGTGCTAGACTGTCCAAAGTTCTTGCATGTGTTTTAAAGGGTGTAAAGAAGTTAAACACCCCATTCATTGCATGTGTTGTTGCATTGTTTATCAATTTCTGTTTTGTATAAATAGGCCATCTTGCTAAGCTTAAATCATCTCATCCAAATCCCATTTCCATTCTCATTTTCAGCTTGTAAGCTTTAAGAGTTGTAAACTCTTCTAATATTTCAAAGTGTTTGTTATCACCAAGCTTGCTACTTCTTTCATATATCAAAGTCCAAGTGTTTTACCAAAGCTTGTTGCTTCCCTCCTTTCTCTATTTCTTTGTCCAATTTTATTGAGAGTGAAAGTGAGAGGTGTGATAGAGTTTGTAAACTTATCACCCACATATTTTGGTATTGAGTTAGTAAACTCTTGTGAATACCAACAGTTTCTGCCATTTTACTAGCAGGTCTAATTACGCTTCATTTTAATTTGTACTTGGTCTTTGATAGCCTGGTTCCCATCAGACTATGATTTTTCTCTGCACATTTCTTACTTGTTTAAAACAGGTTATGTTAGTTATGGAGACTGAAGTTATGCTTTATATACGATGGATTTGACTGTTTCTGTACTTTTATTTATTGTCGATTCGCGTTATTCGTTTGAGAATGCATGCCATGGTAGCGTATTGGGGTGTAGGTAATGAGAATGGCGATACAATTACATTTATTAAATTAAAAGAAAAATGAAAAAACAGAAGTGTCACCCGTAAATGTCTAAAATATTATGTAAAGGGAAGAAAAAAAACATTAGAGCTAACATCATGGTCGAGATTGGAGAGCAAAACTCCTCTTGAGTAACTGAAGCGTCCGTTGGGATTATTAATGTTATTCACTTCCTTTGCATGCTCCAACACTTCATCCCAAAGAGATCCCTCGCCGCCATTGTTGTTGTTGCCATGATGATCATCCACCACAAGCTGATGATTACTCTCAGAACTTAAGGTTGATATAGACAGTATGTCTTCAGATTTTGATATCAGTTGGTTCGAGACACATTGTGCGTTAGCATCTTCCAAATCTTTGGTCGAAAAGATTCCGTTGTCGCCATTGTTGTTACCATGTTCACCATCTACTGCATGACGATGATTATTACTCTCAAAACTCAAGGGTAGTGACTTAAACAAGATGTCTTCAGATTTCGATCCTAGTTGGATTGCGACACATAGCACCTTACCATCCTCCAAATCTTTATTCCAAATATCTCTCTCACCGTCATTGTGGTTCGGGACACATTGTGCCTTATCATCTTCCAAATCAATATACCAGCTGAAGGATTCCCCGTTGGCATTGCTGTTACCATGGTGATCACCAACAACATCATGATGTTGATTAGTCTCAAAACTAATCAAGGGTGAAGAATTAGGCAAGATGTCTTCAAATTTTGATATTAGTTAAGTAGAGTCGCGTAGCGGACTAGCATCTTCCAAATCTTTATCCCAAAAATATTCATCGCCACCATTGTCGTTACCATGATCACTGTCAGAATTGAGGGTTGAAATATTAGACAAGATGCCTTTAAATTTCAATATTGGTTGGTACGGAAGCCATTCTGCCTTGTCATCTTCCAAATCAATAACCAGCTGAAAGATCCCTCGCGGCTATTGTTGCTACCATGACGATCACCGACGAGGGGTGATGAATGAGGCAAGATGTCTTTAGAGTTTGATATTAGTTCAGTCGAGACACATAGCACATTACTATCTTCTAAATCTTTATCCTGAAAGTACCCGTCGCAATTATTGTCACCCTGATGATGATTCTCAAATTTTAGGGCTGAATTTGTAATCATATCTTCAGATTGCGATACTGGTTGGTTCGAGACACATTGTGCCTCGCTATCTTCCAAGTTTGTATATCAGAAAGATCCCTCGCCGCCATCGTTGTTAACATGATGATCACTCTCAAAATTAGACCACAAGTCTTCAAATATTGGAATTGACGGCGTGATGGAGACGCATTGCTCCTTAACGTCCTCCAAAGCATGCCTACCTTTCCGTCTCTTCTTGTTATTCTGAAGAAGCGCCGAATATTTGTCTTCAACTGCATAGCATACTGTCCACTCATCCTCAATCCACTTCTTCTAATCCGCCAACTTATGATCATCTTCTTCCAGATCATCAACATCGATAATCTCTATCTTTCGCTTGTTTTGCTGCCCCGTTTTTTAGGCCTCGAAACTTATGAATTTGCTCCTCAACTTCATCCCCACTAACAGAACCATCATGTGTTTTGTCTGATTGCATGTAGCGAACGAGAACAGCATCCGCCGAAGAGTGCCCGAAAGCATAAGTACTGCCCACTTGAGAAGCCTTTCGCTCTCTTTTACTTTGTTGTCTCTCTTGTTTTTCCTCCCATTGCTATTTCGCATGCCTTTCTTTTCATCTTTTGTGCACACAGTTACGTAGCTAGGGTTTCGGTTTTCGGTTTCGGGTTTACAATATATTTGCTTACTTTTTGCTTGAGAAATGTTTTTTATAGCGTGGTGTAGACAATCAACCAGCTAAGCTCTGTGTGTGTGTGTGTGTATATATATATTTCACTCTGTAAGGTAGACTTGAACTGAAACATGTCAAGGAAGAGTCCATGGCCTGAAGTAGGGCGCAGAACCAGTCACCAACAAGCTGGTAGCTCAAGGAGTTGTCATGGTCTATGAATCTTCTTTTAACTACCTACTCATGTGCACTTTGTGTCTGCAGAGATAAAGTGTCAAGAACACGGCTTAGTATACGAAGTGTAATAATACAATTAGTTGGAAACTCGAAAAATAAAATTTTCAACCAACTATATTATAACACTAGAGGTATCCGGCCTTGTTGACATTCTGAAAATTTCTCGTGGGCATCTCTTATTCTATTTGTCATGATTTTGTTTGATTTGAAGCACCTCCTAACTTTTTAAGTCAAGATAAGTTGTTCCGATCGGTCAACATTGTTTTTTTCCTTATATCGTTCAAGGACAACTTCTTTGAACCCCTCCACTTCAATAATGTCCTGCTGGAACTAGGGAAGGAACCATCCAGGAAGCATGAGGGCATAATTATGTTTTACATAATTAAATTCAGAAACTAATTGACAAATGAGAAGTAGAGACTTCACTTTACAACTAATTTGCAATATAGGGAGTAGCTAATTCGTGATAAACTCATGCAAGGTCTATTAACACTCCAATGTGAGACTACTCTCAACACGTTCACATAAGTGTGACCTCATTTAGGTCTAACACGAGGACAATACATGCTTTGATACCATAAAAAAAGTTGACACTATCCTAAAACTAATTGGCAATTAATATGAGAATAACCCAAGCCCTTGTAAGTGTTGAGAATGAGTCTCATATTGATGGAGGAGAGACATTGCATGGGCTTATAAGAGGTTTGGCTACTTCCCATCTAGTCAATTGGTTTTATGGTGGAACCCAACTTTCTTCATGGTATCAGAGCTAAGTTATCTCACGTGTGAAGCCAAACGGTCACACGCACTCCACGTCACCCCGTTATATGTCCACGTGTTAGGCTTAAAAATTCGCCACACGTGAGGGGGCATATTAAGAATGAGTCCCACATTGATGGGAGGAGGGACTTTGCATGAGTTTATATAAGGTTGGGCTACTTCCCATATTGTTAATTGATTTTATGATGGAACCTCAACTTTCTTCAATAAAGTCATACAATGTTTGTTAAAATAGCTACTTTGAATCCAATTAAGGAGCGAGGGTTAATTAACTAATTTGTGAACTTTTATTCTTTCTCACCTTTTGTTCCTAAGCTAATTAAGGTGTTGTTCTTAGCTCACTCTCACATCCTTTTACTATAGATAATATCATTTGTTCAAAAAAAAAAAAAAAAAAAAAGGTGTTGTTAGTGGGGTTTTCAAATACGTTTTAACACCAAAAGTAGAATCCCGCCACAGGTTGAAACACACACACACAAAACACCCCGACATTCCGTCAATATATTAAATTTTTCCTTCAGGGTTTTGTAATATTGTGGGTTCTGTGTTTTTAATCAACGTATGTTTTTCACTGGCTGGTGTGCCTTGGCTCCTGTTCTGTTCCATGATTCTTTGGGAGTCCGTTTGGTTTGATATATTCTTGAAGAAATTATATTCTTTAGAATTGCACGCATTTAGCCACCCCACTATAAATTCTCCGAAAATGGAAGTAAGTCAAACAATTTGATGTAAAGAACGATTTCTTGCATGGTAATATAGCTGAGGAGGTTTATATGGAATTTCCTCCTTGCTTTGGTGATACGACTAGGAAAGGAAATGTGTTCAGGTTGAAGGCCTTGTATGGTCTAAAAATATGGAAGGTTCACTACAAGTAGTGTTCTAAAAATCGGCATATGCGACCGCCTAGGCGCTGGGCGGTCGCATATGCTCCGACACAATTTAGACCAAAACGTTCAATTAGGCAGGGAAGACTTAGGCGGGCTAGGCGGCACTAGGCAGCCGTCTAGGCGGTTTGAATCTCGCTACAATTTTTGCAACTAGATCTACAACTTCCGATCTCGTACATAACAGCAGAGCTCCGGCGAATTTCTGCGTCCTTGTGAAGATGAGGGAAGAGAGAAAGAGGTTGAATTTGAGATCCAACTTTGAGGTTCTGAAAGTGAAAGGCCAAAGAAGAAGAACGAAGATGAGGCATGAGGGAAGTGAGTGCCAAGAGAGAGAGAGAGATAGAGAGAGAGAGAGAGAGAGAGAGAGAGACTAAAAGATTAGGTTCTGAAAGGGTAAGGGAAAAGAAGAAGAAACGAAATTCAAAAGCTGGTGATGGGTTCTTGGGTGATGTGAAAGAGTGGTTTTAATTATGAAACCACCCACTAATCAGTTGGTTTTAAATATGAAACCACCCACTTGCGTGGGTTTTTTTTATAGTTTTAAAAGTTTGGGATGTATATTATATGTATATAAATGTTATATAAATTATAAATTATAAATCATTTAGATAATATTTTTTTTTTACTAGGCAAGCATATTAGATATGTACATAAAACATTCACATATGTATGTTCTTCTATAATAAATAACATATTATTCAATAATTATTTATGTCTGATATAGTAAATTTAATTAATTTATATAATATATAAGAAATTTACCTAAATCCGCCTAGGTGCCCACCTAGATCCCCCCTAGCCACCTAACCGCTAGGTGCTAACCCACCGCCCGACTAGCGCCAAACATTTTTTAGAACCTTACAACTAAGAAATTTTTTGGCTATTGGTAGGCTAATTCTGATCATACCCTATTCTTCATAAGCATAGATGGATGCTTGGTTGTAAGCCATCTGACACTCCTATTATTCAGAATCATCATCTTGGTATATATCATGATCAAGTGCCGACTAACAAGGAGAGAGATGAAAATTTAGTGAAAAAAACTGATTTATTTGTCACTCACTTGCCCAGATATTGCATATGCAGTGAGTGTTGTTAATCAATTTAGGCATTCACCTAATAAGACCACATAGGGGGCTCTAATGCATATTTTGGGGTATCTAAAGTTTGCGAGTCCAGGAAAAGGGTTGGTGTTCAAGAAGCACGATACTTGGGTGTTGAGGGTTTTACTAATGCTGACTGGGCCAGAAAAAATTACAGCTCAATACTCTAATTCAAATTATTTCACTTTTGTAGGGCGCAATCTGGTTATACATGATGTAGTAAAAACAAAATGTAATTGCGCGATCTTCTGCAGAGGCTGAGTATCGAGGCATTGCTCATGGCGTGTGTGAACTCCTCTGGCTAAGGTGGTTATTTACTGAATTAGGCTTTAAACCTAAGGGTGCCATGAGACCCTTTTGCAATAATCAGGTTGCTCGAGCTATTGTAAACAATCCAATTCAATATGATTGAACAAAACATATGGAGGTGGACATACAGTTCATTAAAGAGAATCCAGAATGGAAACAGATCAAGGTTCTGTTCATTAATTCTTCAAAATAGCTGGCATATGTATTGACACATGTTGTGTCAAAACGTGTTGTTGATGACTCACTTTTCAAGTTGGGTATTGGAGATATCTATGCATCAACTTAAGGGAGAGTGTTGATGTGAGTCAATTTGTCTCATATCAGATGTAGAGTAGGTAGAGTTGTTTGTGTGAGTATATAGAGGTTTCCTTATGTTATCTGTTCAGATATACAAGAAATATGTATAAAAGAAAATTGCCCCAAGTTCTCTATTTTTATTCCAAATTCACCCCAGGTTCTCTGTGCTTATTCCAAGTTCCTTCTTCATGCTATTCAACGTACTGCCCCAGAATATCATCTTCCTGTTTAGTCCAGGCACCTTTCCCCATTCCCAGCAAATTATTATATATCCTCCTTCCTCCATATGATGGGTTAACAGCCAACAGGATCCTTTCCGGATGTTTTTGGTAAAGATCCTAAAAATTCATAAATTGTGTTCGTTCATCGTACATCGTTCGGTCAGTTTTTATCAAGTACGGTTTGTATTTAATTTAAATAAAAAATTTAAAATAATTTCTGACCAAACAATATATGATGAATCGATAGGATTCACAAATCTTCAAAATCCTTACAAATATGCTCTAGAGAAGATCGGGATTCGGTAATAGAGGTGTACCAGAGGTAGGTGATCCCACGGCGCATACACAAAACTATAGATCACAAGGCAGCAACGTGCATGACTGCACTCCACGAAAGGAATAGAAAAAGGACAGCTGAAAATAGTGAGACAGTTTGGATTTGAAGTTGCGTCACTTTCCAAAATTGTGTTAGAAAACAGGGATTCTCCTAGTCATCAATGCCAGGTGTCGATCAGCAATGGAGGGCTCGTCATTTCTTTCATTCACGTAGGGTTCCGAAAGAGAATTGAGTGAAAATGGTCAACTCGTTCCAAATCTTGCAAATCTCCCATTAAATTTTTTTGCAGACAATTAAGTACTCGATCTAATTAGTTGTCTTGTTTTAATTGATTCTCAATCGCTTAATTAGTTGTTTTCTTTGAATTGATTTTTAGTAGCGAATGTCTTCTTTTTAAAAAAAAAAAAAAAATTATTGTGTTTGAAGTATTTGTCTCCAAAATGTTATGATATTTTCACTTTTTATAGCCATTTATACATCATTTTTTTTAATTATAATCATCGAATTAAATAAACTAAACGAATACAGATACAAAGTGTGAGAGATTAAAAAAGTTATCTATTTATCACTTCAGTACTAAAAACTATATGTGAAAAGCTTAAAATGATATTAAAAAACTAAGCACTCGTAACACTTTTGGCATTGTTTTAGGTCATCCAAGCAGTTGTTCACTCGCTTAAGCATCAATACTTATTCTTCATGCCACTTTTGGTGAGCCAAAACACAAATCTATGTCTTTCAAAGCTACGTCCCACCAAAATACTTTGGCCCTTCATTTGAAGTGTATATATTTTGGCATTCTGTTACACCAACTACTTTTTTATACAAACACAATTAGTGTTGCATACATTATAAGTACAAAGCAGAAATTTTGTAAGACAACCCCGCATGATAAGTTGAAACACACATATAGGAACTTACTAATTAAGTATGTACATTGTCTGCAAAGTACAACTAATTCGACGATTGCTTGAGACTTGGGACCTCTAAATCTTAGTTCTCTCTTCTTCTAGATTCCAAAGGTTCTCTCTAAAGGAAAAGTTGCCACTCATGTGTAACCCTTCATCAGCAGAATTCATGCCTACCATTGTCGACTGTGCAATATCTTCAACCCAAAAGTTTGTGAAGAGGTCTTCCCCTAACCCTAAACTAGAAAATGGTGTTCCATCAACATTGTCTGTATCATGCAACATGGCCTTCCATGAATCAATAGCGTTTTCTGTAGGTGGTGATGGTGTCTGTAATAACCTGCTACAGTTCTCTTCAGATTGAAAAATTGCAACTCTAGCTCTCCGTGGTTGAGGTCTTATGACGGATGTGGCTTTTGTTCTTTCTTTGGATTTATCCTTCATATATTCCAACTCCTTTCGTTGCTTGCTATTCCAATAATTTTTTACCTTGCCTGCTGTTCTTCCTGGGAGTCTTCCAGCAATTATTGACCACCTTACATGCACAAACAAAATGAATAAATAATATGTTAAAACTACAAGGGCTTTGTAACTCAAGAAAAGTAAAATTGTAAGGATCACGGTTTCAGAATTATTCTCACTCGAATAAAACCCATTGGCTAGATTCCATATTAGCAAATTCATTAATTATGTTTGACTTCATAGATTTAAAAATTTTGGATGCCTAAAATACCCCTATTTGAATTTATTTTATTTTTTTATAAACCATATTTGAATGTTTGATATGCATAATTAATGCCATGCTGATTGTAATTAAGGGAGAATTAATGATTTTACACGAAAAAATAAAAATAAAAAAAATAAAACATTAACGTTATAAATTCATTGCCTATATGGTAACATAAAACATGTCTACTATATGTTATTATACTTGCTTAATTAAGTCAATAAAACTATACTTTACATATTAATGTAGGTAAATTATTTCACACACACATATGCATGAAATATGTAAAATTCATGCAAAATAATTTACCTACATAATAAAAACAATATTATTTTATTTAATACTAATTTACCTATTACTTGTACATATGATAATAAAATGTGCCAAATATATATATATATATATATATATATATATATATATGATATTGAATCATTGACACATACAAAATAAAATACCTACATAATAAAAGAATACTATTTGATTCAAAATTAATTTACTTACAAAATAAAACAATTTTATTTGATTTGAAGTTAATTTACCTATTATTTGTACATATATCTTATAATAATAATATGTGCCAAATATATGTAATAATATATAAAAAAATAAATTACCTACAAAATATATATTATTTGCTAATCATAAATTTAGGGTTGTGATATTCACACAACTTTAACTACTTTTCCCACACCTCTCCATATTTTTAATACTTAATTTGTATCCTACTATTTAATCTTCCATATATACCCCTCCCGATTTAATCTTTCATTAATTACCATCAAAAAGTAAGAAGGGTATATATGGAAGATTAAATAGTATCATACCAATTAAGTATTAAAAAATAGGAAGGGGTGTGGGAAAAGTAGGTTAGGGTGTGTGAAAATCACAACCCTAAATTTACACATAGGTAAATTCATTATATATAATATTTTTTACTTGGCAGTTTTTTTCAAATTTGGATTTTATTTGGATGTTCAAAATTAGATGAATTTTAATTAAGAAAATAAGAGTTGCAAGGATTTATATCTAAAGAATCCTATATTTTTTTTATTAATTTTTTGCGAGAGGCTTTCTCAAGTGTGAAATCCTGGCTCCACAGACTTGGTGCACAAACAAAAAAGGCCCAAAATGCTGGCCAGCGTCATAAGTTTTGCATATAGGTTTTCGTATTCTAGATGTATGCTGTGTGTTAGTCCGTCAACAAATCTTATTTACTGGCTGATGTGCCTTGGCAGGCTTCTGTTCTTTTCCCAGCTTCTTATGAAGTACTTTTGTTTTGATACAATCTACAAGGTACGTAATATCTTTATGATAACTAGCTCATACATGCATGCATTTGGCTTTTGCTTGGAATATAAAATGACTTGCTGGTTTCTTTTTTGTTTATCAAATAAAGGGACTTGCCTGTTTCCCAAAAGTTTCTGTAGTCTATGGATTAGATCTATTTCATCCTCTGTGAAATCTCCGCTCTTGAGATTCGGCTTCAAATAGTTCAACCACCTCTGTCTGCAGCTTTTCCTGCATCTGTTTAGACCTGCACATTTACATAAAGACTTTATTTATAACAAGTTTCTAGATAACCAAACTGAAGGACAACTAATTTTCTAGTTAAGTATGCCAATATACTTGTCTCTTTACCTGTTTCGCGAGGAACCTGGTGCCACTTTCCATCTCCATGCTTTTCAACGTACTGCCTCAGAATATCATCTTCCTGTTGAGTCCAGGCACCCTTCCTCATCATTCCCAGCAAATTACTATCCTCCATATGGTAAATATATACCAGATTAGAGATCATAAGGCCACCGACGTGCATTACTGCTCTCCACATAAATGAATGAAAAGGACCACAGTACGACTGAAACAATTTGATAGAGGTTTTTTTTTTTTTACCAGAAACGATAGGCTGTATTTCACTGATTCTTACAAAACAAATTAAATATATAAAACGAATAGGTGTCAATTGGGTAATACTCCAGTGACCAAAATTGGTCTAGAGTGAATTAGTAATTTAGTAAAGACAAGTAATTTAGTAAAGAGAAATTAAGCAATTGACGCAATAAATCTGTGCCGGCAACACACGGTTACCGTTAAAAGATGTGAACACATAACTTATTGATAATGATAAATACTACATCCAGCCACCGCAATAGCGCGGCCATAATACTTGCTAAGCAAGACAACAAAACAACTACACCACTTCGAGAAGAGAACCCTTGGTTGGCTCGTCATTGTGGTGGACAAGGACACCCTAGCTAGCCAGGGCCATTGTAATTTGTAGCTTTCACTGAGCCTTAGGGTCATATTTTTATAACATATTTTCTTTGAATTTTGTATATTCGAATGGGTTGAACATTATATTTTTTTTATTTTTTTATTTTTAGACATTCGATAGCGAAACTGCGTGAAAAAAAGGAGAGAAAATAGTTTAACTAGTCAACACAAGTCTACATAGTTTTACTTGTCCCCTGAACATGTATTGTCACACTCTCATCGAAGATGTTGCCTCTCTCGGTTCTTCTTTGAGAAGTATTTTACAGTCAACCAACGGCTATTGTTAGCTTCATATTTCTTGAACTTCTCTATGTGGTTCGTGGTAAATGAGCTGCTTTCTTATAGTGTCAAAACATGCAGAAATAATTCCAGGCTTGTTCTCCTCCGCATCGAGAACTCCATTGTTGTCTCCAGCTCTAACCTGTGGTTTTGGAGGAGAGCGAGATATGGGTTAAGTGGCGGAGTTCTTGAACCTGGAAGCAGATGTAGATGGCGACGCCGGAGATGACAAAGACGGCAAGCTCCCCATTCCCACAATTTTGTTGTTGCTGCTGCTAACAGAGATTTGACGAAGCTAAAATTAAAGAGAGGGGATAGATGAAGTAGAGAATAAGGTAAATAGAAAAAAGAGTGATGGTGGACATTTTTCTCCCTGCATCTAACAAAGATTTGATGGAAATTCCACTTTCGATTAAATCTGCTAACGGTCTTCTCCACAAGGGTTTGAATTTTAATTTTATTACCCTAGATGTGTTGAGATTTAAGCTGCATACAAGCTTAATGTCGAACTGCAGATGACAATCCTGCAGAAAGAAGTGAAGAGAACTCTGAAATCGAAGAGGTGAAGAACTTGCTATTTTTAGCAAGTAGCCGTTAGGTTCAAATGTGCAACGGCTAGTTGAGTTTCTGTTTTTATAATGCTTACAGCTGTGTTCTTATCTGTTTTTAATTGTACTGTGTTTCCCATCTTCTTCCAAGTGGATGGATGATATCCTCCAATGTCCATTAATGGCTGGAGAAGAGTTCCTAGGCCTCTAGTGTGTAGGTTCTGTTTTTGATCAGAAAAAGAGTGATATAGTCCTTGTAAACTTTATGGTTTCTAAAATGAAAACACAGACTGTTTGATTCCTCATCTCCCTCTCTCGAAGAATCTCAGTTTTTCTTAAAAAACCTATTACTCAAAGATTCAATCTTTAACGAAGATTATTAATCAAAAACACCATGCCTGGTACCATTTTAAACATGGTATCAGAGCTTCTGGTCTGATTCCGAAGAAGGGTGTAAAGCTGCGAGAGAGGTTCCTCCTAGAGAAAAGTCCTATAAGGGATAAAGGTGGTTCCTTTATTGGTTGATTCACTGATACTCACTAAGAAAATGGTGGGATCAGGTTCTTCCAGTGGAGACTTACGAACTCCACAGTTCGATGGTGCAAATTACGATTTTTGGGCTGTCAAGATGGAGACTATCCTCATAGCGCATGACCTATGGGATGTAGTGGAACTTGGTGTACAAATGCAGCAGATTCCTGAAGAGGAAGAAGGTTCTGGAGAGAAGGGTAGCGAGGCTGAGCAAATTCCAGTGGAACCACCCACCATCTCCAGAGAAGACAGAATCAAAAACGCCAAGGCGTTGAGTCTTATACAAGGAGCTATAACAGATGAGCTTTTTCCTCGTATCAGAAATGAGAAGACTGCAAAAGGGGCTTGGGACATCCTGAGAAGAGAGTTCAAAGAGATAAAAAGGTAAGAGCTGTAAAACTTCAAGCAGTTAGGGCTGATTTTGAATATATGAGAATGACAGATAGTGAAAACCTAGATGACTATTTGGGTAGGTTTTTTGGAATTGTGAATAATCTGAAGTCTCTTGGTGAAGATGTGACTGAACAAAGAATTGTACAGAAATTATTGATGAGTCTAAGTAGGAGGTATAAATCCATTGTTTCTATTATTGAGGAAACTCGAGATCTGGATGCTATTAGAGTGGAAGAAATCATTGCATCTGTCAAAGTATATGATAAAAGGGAAGACTTACATGATGAAAAGGATAGATTGACAGGAACTGAGAGGGCTTTTAGTAGTCTCAGAGTTGGAAACAATCAGGTCACTAGCACTTACAAAGGTTCTCAGAGTAGGCCAAATCAAAAGTGGCAGGGACAAAACAAGAAGGGATCAAACTGGTCTCCGAGTGGAAACTGGAGCAACAATCCAGGAGGAAATTGGAACAACATATTCAATTCACAGAACAAGCAAGGGAGCAGTAGTCAAAGTTCTGTGAAACCACAGTGTCAAGTGTGCCAGAAATATCATTTTGGTGTGTGCAGATACAAAGGAAAACCAAAATGTGAAAAGCGTTTTGGTCATATTGCAAAGGACTGTGATGGTCACAAGCAAGTTGCTCACTGTGCAAAGGAAGAAGAAGTAACTACAGGAACCATGTTTTACGCTTGTCACTCATCAACTATGCAAGATAGAAGTGTGTGGTTTGTGGACAATGCTTGCAGCAACCACATGACATCACAAGAGTTTACCTTAATAAATCTTGACAGATCTGTGACTTGTAAAGTTAAAATGGGCACTGGTGATCTTGTACAAGCAACTGGAAAAGGCACTTTAGTGGTTGAAACTCAGCGTGGGAAAAGATATATCAATGAAGTATTGCTGGTTCCTGGTTTGGATGAAAACTTACTAAGTGTAGGCCAAATGATGGAGCATGGCTACTATGTCCTATTTGGGGGTAATATGGCAGTGATCTTTGATGATAGCAGTCTTAACAATGTTGTAGCAAAAGTGATCATGGCAGGAAATCGATGTTTTCCTCTTTCACTGGAATCTATAACCCCTGCAGCAAGAAAAGCATCTATGGTTGAAGATTCATGGATATGGCACAGAAGGCTTGGACATTTAAACTTTAATAGTATGAAAAAGATGCAGCAGAAGGAAATGGTGGTTGGACTACCTGTTTTGACAGAAATGAGAGATGTGTGTGAATGCTGTGTATCAGGCAAACATCACAGAGAATCTTTTGACAAAGAAAAACCATGGAGAGCAAGCTACCCACTTGAATTGGTGCATACAGATTTGTGTAGACCTATGCAAAATGAGTCCATTGGAGGAAATAGGTACTTCATCACATTCATTGATGATTTCTCAAGAATGTGTTGGGTATACTTTCTCAGAAACAAATCTGATACCTTCAATGTGTTCAAAAAATTCAAAGTTTGTGTTGAGCTGCAAAGTGGATTCAATTTAAAGAAGCTAAGGAGTGATAGAGGTGGTGAATACACCTTACATGAGTTTCTAGATTATTGTGCAAGCATGGGAATGGAGAGGCAACTGATTATTGCCTACTCTCCTCAGCAAAATGGAGTTGCTGAGAGGAAGAATATATCAATTGGTGAGATGGCAAGGTCCATGCTGGTTGAGAAAGGAATGCCTGTAGAATTCTGGGTAGAAGCTGTAAGCACAGTTATGTACCTTCAAAATAGATGTGTTACAACATCTGTTCTAGACAAAACTCATTTTGAAGCATTCACAGGTAGGAAGCCTGGAATCAAGCACCTAAAAGTTTTTTGTTGTGTATGCTATACTCATGTCTCGTCACATCTGAGGCACAAGTTTGATGAGAAATCCAGGAAAGGAGTCTTCATGGGATATGTGAGCTATGAAAAAGGATATAGAGTATATGATCTGCAATCTAAGAAGATAGTACTCTCAAGAAGTGTAATTTTCAATGAAAAACAGTCATGGAATTGGAAAAATGATCAAGTGGAGCATACCTCAACTCATTTCAATCTTGAAGGATTTGACTATGAAGAAGAAGTTAGAGAGGAACAAACTAATGAATTCCAGTATAACAGTGCTGGAAGTCCTCATTCAAACACTATTGCTCATGAGTCAGTTGAGGACAATGGTGGAAATCACAATCAAGGCTCCACACCAAGCTCCACTCCAGTGAAGTTGAAAACTCTAAAAGATATATATGCAAGGTGTCACATGTGCATTATAGAACCTGAGACTTATCGAGAATCAGCAAGTGATTTAGCTTGGCAATAAGCTATGAATGCAGAATTGGAAATGATTGAGAAGAACAATACTTGGGAACTTGTTGAGAGACCTATTGATAAACCTGTTATAGGTGTGAAATGGGTGTTTAAGACTAAATTGAATCTGGATGGAACAGTTCAAAAACACAAAGCCAGGCTTGTAGCCAAGGGGTATGCACAGAAACCAGGGATTGACTACAATGAAACTTTTGCACCTGTGGCAAGATTAGACACAATTCGAACTCTCATTGCTTTAGCAGCACAAAAGGGTTGGAAGTTGTTTCAACTGGATGTTAAATCCGCTTTTTTGAATGGTGTGCTTGATGAAGAAGTGTATGTTGAGCAGCCTGAAGGTTTTGAGTTGGAAAATGCAGGTCAAAATGTCTATAAGTTAAGGAAGGCTTTATATGGACTTAAACAGGCACCTAAAGCCTGGTACAATGAAATTGATGCTTATCTATCTCTGTGTAAATTCAAAAGAAGTACAAGTGAAGCCACTCTATACACAAGATCTGATGATGAATGAGGGTTAATAATTGTCTGAATATATGTTGATGACATTATCTA